AGCTTTATCGGTACCGCAATGAAGCCTGTAAGCCGTCCTAGCGCATACGAGAAGGCGTTCAGTCAGAGCAATGGTTGGCTACTGAATCTAACATCGTTCAAGTACCAGGACGATACAAATGTAATAATATGTATAATAAATAAGTTTTAATCAAGTAGATATATGGTTCCTTGTGTAAATATATACTTGATAACTTCGGCGATGTTCAATAAATTGTGCGGATAAAAATTTCGTATTTGCGAGCGCTTGATCAGATTTTTATTTCACTTCGCAAAGAAAACGCTCCGATTATTGCCTAGATTTATATTCCACGGGAGTGTTATAAATCAGATAGGCATGGTTGTTTAGGAAGCGAATGCACTATAATTCAACTATTTAATTACGGTAGCCAAAATTATTGTGCATGGGTGGCTAGCACAAAAGTGGTTTTGTCAGCAACGTATTCTACAACTAACAAGCGAATAAGAAGAATATACCGAAAAAAAAAAAAAAAAAAAAAAATTTGTAATTTAGATAGTACAATAGTAGTGCAACAGGGACTGCGGCAGCAACATTTAATCGTTGACGAAATTAACTTCCAGTTTGACCTATACTTTAACTGATGTAATCTCGTTTCGCTGGAAATTGAAGTTCAATTATTCCCGTCCTACGAGCAATGAGCTAATTTTCCCACAGTACTATGGAGCCCTTTCAATCGATAATCGTCATTGTCATCACAGCCATCATCGACGAATGTAACATGAAAGAAATAACGTTAATGACACTTCGTTGAAAAAAATGGGCGCTCGCTGTGGGGCCACAACAAAAACGCTAGATTCTGCTAGGGCTGTTCCGGATTAAATTTATCATGCTCCTTCAGTTAGACGTTGGACAAGAAATTGAAAATCACTGAATAATAGCAGGAAAGAATGCTATGAACACAAGTCAAGCCTTAATGAGCTCCTTGATGTATTAACCTGAAACTTAAATTCATATCGATGCTGAGTTGGGCTTTTTCGCTATGATCAGCTACTAGGAAGGGCGGCAGACACGACAAAATGAATCAAAGAATAGAAGAATTAACATGTAAAGATCTATAATTGTGCTTTTTGTGCTGTTGTGGGAGGAAGCTTCTTTTCGTTCGGAATAAGCCAAAACCTGATTGTGATTACATCCTAAGGACGGCTCTGCGCGGGCTATAGAAATGAAAGCAAAGATAGACGTTGGTTTCCGGAAGGATGGCGACTATACATTTAGATTTCTGGATTAAGCCATTCGAATGGTTTCGATATCAGTCGTTCACATCCTTATTCCTTTCGGAATTACATCGATAGAATGTTGTCAATAAGCTATTACCTATTTAAGACATAAAGCAGGCGGGTCTTTTGTGCTGTACAGCTCCAGGCTATATATTCAACTCTAAGTTGAACGTAGCTTTTCTGTAGCTTATTAGACCTAGTTCTATAGACCTAGTGCAGTGTGCAATAATGACCTGCTTTTTAGTGGTGGCCTCTTTCACATATGTTCGCTTTGAGTTTTGAACGACACGCTTCGAATTCAGTTGTTGATGTTACCGACATACGATTTACATCAGCCTCTGCTTGTTGATGACAGCAGCGACCCCTGGTTGCCATCGCGTCGTTATTTTTGTTGACGACGATAGGCACAGGCGAGCAGACAGCACCCGATTAAACCAACAGAAAAGCCGTTATTAGCGCCGTTATTGTTGTTATAGTTGCAAACAACAGTAACCGATTGCTGACACAACTTTTTTCGCGTTTCTGTGATTAGTCAACTAGCGTATGTGTAGGACCACAGTCAGTCCTCTCTCAACTTACCATACTAGATTTAAGTAAACATATATACTTATGTATCGTAAAACAGAATTGCTTTTTTTGAGAATAGATAGGCATGGGTAAAATAATGATGATAATAATAACGTTCTCATTGTAATTATTACATCGTAAGGTATCTAAGAAAAAATTATCGTGATGATTAATGAGAAGCAGATAGGCGATACGCGACATGTAACGCCATGGGAGCAGATATCTGTGTATGCCTGTCATGTTATATAGAAACGTAGCTTTCGTGCGATAATCAGTACTGCTCGGGTTGTACAGATTTGTAATTTAGACACTAGTTGTTCGCAACTTCGTTTTATTTTCTTGTCTTTCTGGTGTCCAACACAGAAAACCTATTCGGTCCCCGTGTACACTTGATTCGATACGTATAGATGACGACATAACTACACTGTTTCTCAACGACAATACTCCTAACGATATCGTTGAAGTTCTGGCCGTTGTGTCGTAATAACGGTCTATTTTCTAAAATAATCAAATCAACTCGATCGAACAGTTCGGTTTACGTTTCGATGTTGACGTAAAATGTAAACCTATTTCGATCCATAATATCGCCTACAATTAAAAGCTCAGATGGTCCTGAATGAGTTCGACGCAGCGTATCTAAGGCTGATTTGGAGGCAAAACGCACTTTTGGCAGGCCATGGGCGAAAGATGAATGCAAGGGTTACATTTCTATTTCCTTCCGGGTTAGCGCACGTCCTAGGTTAGCCCATAGGGTCACTTGCTGTTGGCGCGTACCTGCCATTCGAAAACGCTATTTCATTCGTTGCAAATCTGTTGTGACTCATTGTATCTGTACCTAATCCTGCAGTAAACATCATCTTCAGAGTTCGGGTTCCCAAGACGAACATACTGGGCCGAAATTCGCTGGGATAAAAAAATTCCGACTAAGCCTATTGCACCTGCCCAACTAGCTATAAGAACCGCCAAATCGACCTTGAATATTTATGCTGCAAACGATAAAAAAAAGATTGCCCAGAATCAATTTGCTATGTTCTAAGTGTGTATATTAGATTTGAACAATGCACCTCGCTCTGGTTGCCGATGTGCATGCTCTAGCGGTTTTTGATCTCGATAAAAAGCAAATTATTAATTGGGCCGTACGTCGCTTATACTGTTTGCGTCTCTTAAGGCTCGTATTAAGCATAATCATAATAATAATAATTAAGCATAATAATAAGCAAGATCGCAATTGTAACAGATAGGCAAACGGCTTTCAAGCTATTACCTAGTAACGACTTACTTCTGATAAAATGAACGAACGTAAGAAAGATGACAAGAAGTTTTTGGAATAGTCCAACAAGACATCACTCCGGAACGTAAATGGCAAGGAAAAATGCTTCCCCGCTTAATGAACTGAGCTTTCACAACGTGCACAAACAAGGATCAGCGTGGTCCGATACGCACGTGTCCATGCTTGTGTTTTTCGAATGGTGCACAGATGAAACGAACCCGGCTTCGCCTTATAGTAGCGGATTATTTATTTGTATAGTAGTATGAATATATGTTAACTAATTGCTCAATTTTTCGCTTGTCGCATGATCTACTAGATATATGATGTTGCTGATCGGGGAAATTGTAAAAAAACAGTACAAGACAATATTTTTGGGGTTTGCTTTTTTTTGTTGACAATATTGCCCCTGCGGAGCCTAATTGGATTATTTGCATGTTGTACAACTTGCCTTTTCTGCATTCTTGCCACTTTTTGTTTGTAATCTTTGAAGCAATCGACTGATCATGCTTCGGGTTCTGTCGTTTGAGTCGGCGGATTGGACAGACGCGATTCACAACCAGAATGTAATTTCGTTTCAACCTGTGATTTTTCTAACAGTACGTAGGGGCAATATACAAGAGGTTGTTCAAGTATCTATTTTTTATTTTCCCAATTATGCTGCGCTTTTAGCTTTCTAAACACGGACAAACGGCTTCAGGGTAGAGGGAACGTCCCTCAACTAATAGCATCGGATGAGAGAATCAGTGGTAGGCCAGCTCAACATCTTTTACTGATAACCAACTTGCTGCCGACCCATATGAATAAGCTCAAGTTGAATGACACCCTGTCGCGGGATATAATATATAGGGCAAAATATAAATTGTACAATGAAATCAACGAAACGAAAGCATATATATCAAATTTTGCTAATTATCGTATAATATGCGTGGCGGCTTTGGCTCGCCCTAAGACATCTAAATGTGCTGGGTCTGTGACTGAATTCATATATTCCTCGAAATGTGTGGATAAAAAAAGAACTCTTTGTCATTAAATTTTGCCAGAACTGCTCAAACACGAACTGGAATTCCTAGTTACAAACAATAGGAACTTCTGGATGATTCTCGAAAATAATCACTGTTGGTGCCTGTTTTCCCGTTAGGACGCAGCTCCTCCAAACTTCTCCCTAGTCGTTAAATAGCAGTCCAGTCTATATTCGCTGTTAGATGGATCAGTGGTCTAAATTTGATTATTGATTAATTCTTTCCTGTCTCCGGTGCGGGTAGTTTGCGCGCGACTCTGTTGTCGCGGTAAACGATACAGTTAGGCTGTTAGCAATTTGAGACCGTGAACTTCATTCAATTGATGCCGATTAGCACGAGCAGCGGCAGCAGTCTAAAGCGGTAATGTCGTAAGTAGTAGTAGAAACTATTATAGAGTAAGAGGCAGCATCGCAATAGAAAGTGAATACAGGGCATGGCAGGTAACAGACAAGACATCGTCATTCAGTCGATTAATGCTGGGACTATGTTGCGTTCCTGCTGCGCAAATTGCTATTGCTTCTCGACGTCATTTGCCTCGGCAGGCAAGCGACGCCACAACTGGGCAGAAAGCCGACGGCAGCAGCGCGTTTCCCCCCTTCTGTCTCCTCTGCTACTGCAGCGGCAATGAGCAGCGGGCGGGTCCGTGACGTTTCTTCGTGCTGCTGATACTGACGACGGCGGTAGCTGCCGTGCGCTACAGCGCAGGCAATTTGCGGCCTGCAATCGCCGTGTGATTGGTCACCGTTCCCTTTCTCCTTTTGATTCCCGAGCAAAGAGCGCAAGCCAGGGCGTCAGCTAACTACGTTGGTAGCAGCAGCAGCGGCGGCGGCCGCGGCTGGTAGCGCCACAGGTGCCATAAACAGGGGGAGAATCGTGTCATCATGGTACAGTGCTGGGTTGTCCACAATACCGTGTGTCGTGCTTCGTGCTCGTGCTAGGAGTACTCTTGTGTGTGAAAAGTATACCTCGAGGTGTCGCGCCCAATAACAAACAAGAAAACAAAACGAGATAAAGCGTGCCCAGAGGCGCAAAAAGGGCGTACTCAACCTAAGGCGCCAAGCCCGAACTCCGGAGGCGCTGGTGGTGCTCAACATCAGAAGGGACTAAACCCAAACCCCTCTCCTCAGGAGGAGACGATCCACTGGTGTCTTAAAGTTGCCGAGGGACCGATCGTTGAGCTACTACTACATAACTAACGGCAGCAGCAGTAGCTTTTCGAACGGTCAGACCTAACAAACAAATCTATCAGTTTTTGGTCGCCTCAACAACTTTAAGCGTTGCATAAAATTGAAGAAGAAAGGATAAGTTAACTAAAACGGCTATAATTCTACATTAGCCATTATTGTACTGCTCCTACTTACGGTTTAACTTGAAAAGGCAATTACACGCAGCAGAAAAAAAAGTCCATTAAGCGACTACAGTCTGTGACCTCAAGCGGCGTGTGTGAGTGTTTTTGCGATTTCATGCTTTTAATATCAGATCTAGCACCGAAGCAATCAGTAAATAACTATAGTACGGTTCTACATACACCACAAACGGCAACGGTACTCGCCTATCCCAGTCTTATCTGAGAGATTCAATTAGATATTGGAATCGGAATTGACTTGAAGTTCTTGTTTGAGGATTCTTGTGTGTTCAAGCAGAATAACAACAATGGTAGACATCCAGCAGTCAGTTATCTAAGTCAGAGTAACAGCAACGCATAGCTAAACTACCAGCGTTAGTTACGAAGAGAATCAACCATGCATTGACCTCGTTATCAAATTTTCTTGACGAAAGCTGAAAAACACGAGGCAATGAGTGTTTTTTAGTGGAAAGCCGCAAGAGGAACAAATAAGATCTTTCAAGTCATTGACACAGAAAGGACCAACGCTCGACAGCTTACCTTCCATATATATAATATATATATATATATATATTTATGTATATATATAATATATATATATAATGTACATATATATCTACTATTGTGACGAGCTAGGCCTAGCGACAGCCGCGGAACTTAAGCTTATCTAGAAGCCTACCACGATACGGTAGCCAAGTTCAAGCATTTCTATTCCTCAACCAAGCTACCCATTTTCTCAACTCGTTCACTGACCCTCCTCAAACGATGAAAAGTAAAAAAAGCTAAAAAATGGTGTAAAAAAAAAAGAAAAAATGTCAAGCTTTAAAAATACGTGCAGCAAAGCTTAGCGTGTTTGACAGCGTGTATTTATAAATACATACAGTTATACAGTAGCTGTTATTAGCCGTCAGTAAGCTCAACAAACAAGCATAATTGAACGATAATAACCTGTGCCAGGCTGTGTGTGATATGAACAGCCGAAAACTCGTATCAGCTTTAATCTACCGCCAAGAGCTTTTGCTCGGTTTGTCTATTCAACTGAGGAACCGAAGTCCTCGGCTCAGCCACAACTAGCTTTTACAACTTCAGACAGAGAGTTCGTCTTCTTGGAAAAAGTTACTCAAGTTTTAATACGCGGAGCTACGACGACGACAACGAAACAAGACGACAAAAGGCAAAAAGTACGCAGCAGCTAAGAGTACAAGGCGAGGAGGCCAATGAGCAATATAAATAGGTAAATTCAGACGGGGCAGGGCGAGGAGAAACAAAATATCTGACAAAGGGGGCCGAAGAAGGAGCGAAGTCAAGCAGGACGGGTCCCCGAAAGGCAAAGGACAAAGCGAAGAAAAGGCTTCTGGCCGGAAAACTCTACTCCAAAGACTTCGGACCGACACTCCGATTCGAAACGATTGCACATCATTGCATTTTTATCCCTACCTATTCTAGTCACTCAATGATCCTCAAATTGTAGTTCGAGGCCATCTTTTGAGAAACCAACCTGTTGTCTTTTATCTATAGATAGACTGGCCTTACCTACATATGGCTTACTATACCGTAGTCTTCGAAGAGTCTCTGAAGATCTGTGTCGAAAAAACATTAGAAAAACAATGAAGGATAATTAATACTTACAAGTGGAAGGACAGTTAAAAAAAAAAGCAGCTGCAGGCTCAACAGAAATAACGGCCACAGTTCAAGTTGTAACAAAAGCCTATCAACAAAGAAAGCGGCGAACGCAACGAATTTTATATGCTTAGCAACAGAAGTACAGTTAACGGAGCAAAAATAGATCTGAAAAACTGACTTGAAGATTGACAAAAATGAAGCCGTTCAGGGTAACTCAGGAGCGTCGCCGCGAGCGGCGCAGAAGAACCAAGACAACCTCTGCCAAGAAGGATAATCCGCAACTGATACGTACCCACGACACCACCGTGAGTCTTTACCATTCAGGATATTCTTTCAAGCTTTCCATTGATAAGTCCAGAGTAGTCGTTGTGTATGAATTTAGCCTGTTCCTGCCCTAAGTATAATTTTATCCGGATCACAGAACTATAACACCACCTTGTGCTCTCAGAAAACAGTTGTGTCAGGTAGCTGAAAGATAGCACTTCGGTGATTTTTGTTCGTCTTTTACCGAAGTCAAAAACGTAGATGACCTAGAAAAAAAAATATAAAACGGACCAGATGAGAGAATGTTGTTTTTATCACTCGACACTTATCTTTGGTACTCGTAAAAGTGATATTACGTAATCTACACAAAACGGTAATAGCTGCAGATCAACGAAAGCGCTTTCTAGAGGTGTATGTCATTTTGTAAGGACGAAGAAAGTAATAAGAAAAAACGATAAAAAATTACAGATGGTAACGCATGGCATTTTACTGTTTCGTTGAGTGAGCGTTATATATATTAGTACTATCACTACCTTTCGATTGACACCGACATTTGGCTTCGGCTTTAATATAGCGGCTGTGATAACGGCGGCGGTTCCTATTTGGCTGATCGTTTGTACAGCTGTTGGACGTCATTGATCATCACTGCTTATTATCGGAAAACGTAGAAAGACCTATAATATGAAAGTGTTAGGTTGAGCTCGAATTTTCAACGCCATAACTCAACAATCAACAGTTACCTAAATAGGTAAAAACTTTATAATCGTTTAATTAATTCTAAACATCCCTATATTATATTATTAAGATGCGGCATTGGCATACGTAACATGCAACTCATTTACCGTATTTGATTTAAATCACATGACGGAACGTTGTTCAAAAGTATAAACTGCCATGATGGATAGACGTTTTCTTAAGGAGTGCCATTTTTAGATAATGGATATTTAGATTAAATACAACAAGAATTTTCAGCGTTCACAGTACATGTTCGTTAAGTACTTACATCGCTACCGTAGCGTAGAGTTAATCCGTTACGTTTGGCGACCCTATGACACAGATAATTGTTGACGATATATCGTCTCCGGACGACGGCGATACGTTTTTTAGCTGGTTGGATTTTGAGCGAGGCCATTATTAGTAACGTAAATATCGAACGCGTCGGTCTGCGATATCGAGTAACGGTCATATTTCACAAACGTAGCTTTCCTTAATTCTATTCAATTTAATATTAGGGCAAATTAAGAATTTATTTAATGAAGATACCCAAAAAAGGTATAGGTTATGGCCACATTCAGGTTTTCTAACTGAATTCAGGTATCTGTGCAGCAATCTTAAATTATTATACTAGCCAGATTTTCGGGCACTTATCGTCGTTTGAATACAATAGGCAACAGTAAGGCGTACATGCTTGTCCTTATGCAAGCGGAGATGAATCAGCAGAATTTCCATTTGTTCCTAAATTTCCTTCCGAAGCCAAAATGTTATCTATTTTTCGAATACAATTTCAAGTACAAAAAAAAAAAACGAATTTACCTGCGGTTTTTTCATTGATCTTTGCGAGTATATGCGCAATAATGTGTGTCTCAGGTAAAGAATGCTCCTTCCGGCCGTCAAATGGGCCGCTATCGCATTCGATCGACCGAATTCAGTTGTAGAATATGTCCTTCATGTCGTCAGTTATCAGATTTTTATAACTCCTCATCGAAGGGTTTTTGTTCTGATTTCACTTAAGTGGCAACGCGCATTGGAGCATCGACGCTATGCTATCTAATGGGCCAAGAGAAGCCAGAGAGAGACGCTAAGTCCGGTGGAAAAAGGGGCTACACGTCTGCGAAGTAACCAGGGTGAAGAAAGCACTAGGATATGAAAGGGATCGAACAGCAAAGAAAGGAAGGGAGGTAAAGAAAAAAAGGCTGAGAAACTCACTGAATAGCTAATCAAGCAGCCAAACAGGCGAAGTGCTATGTTTTGAGGAAAGTTGCCATAAAGACAGGGCTGCCGATGACAGATACGCGAAGGGAAGCCAACGAAGCGATTGGAGCTCCCACAGGAATCAACTCACTTGTCACAGCTGGATCCCCGTCCCGTTCATTCTGAACAAGCGACCGCATATCGAACATCGGTCAGACGGATAAAAACTATCTACAGCTGTCATTTTAATTTTTTATGATCTAAATACCTGCAATCCGTCCGGTTGAGTAATTTCGCAAAGGTCGAAATGTCATTTTATCTAATGTAACACCATTATAGAGTTGCAAATTCGATTAGGTTCGATTGGTTTACAAGTATGGAAATCGATTAATCCCTGCCGGAGCAGTCATGTAACCAGTTCTACATGCTTGATGTCACTGAAGACGCTAAGTTGTACACCTGCGGCCTCGGACTTTAGCTGGGGGCGCCGTCTGGCACACGAGACGAATCATGTGTTATTTGTCTGTCGAAATTAGAGCCCTACCACAGCCCCGTCACAAAAATGCCCTTAAGTTCACCTAGTGACAAAACACGTTCCAGCCAGATATCTGTCGAGGGTCAATCGGCTAGAAAATGGAAAAAAAGCGATTTAACGGAGCGAAACGAGACGTTTAGGAGTGGAGATGTAGGTAACCCCGGTTCTATTTTAGAATGATGAACGATGTGCGATCATACTGATGATGCTAAATGGGGTGTTATTTCATTGTCGGAACCAGATCTGTCCCTCTGTTGTGTGTTCCGTTTGTCTGTTAAAGGGAATATGATTGTAGAAGATTATTGACTGAAGAGAAGATGCAATGAGGCTACGGTTGGGGTGCGTTGTACTCTTCGTGCGAAGGATAAGATCCAAGGCAGCAAAAGACTGCTGCCGGGAAGCTGGCCGCTGTGTTTTGAGTTTTACATCCAGGTTTGGCGTTAGGCTTTGCTTCAGACGGGACTTTACTATGATGATGGTATAGACAAGAAAAATTCTAAGCGATTCAAATTGGCCGGTGGGGTGCAACGAGGATATCGAAGGGTGGGTCGAAAACGAGTCGTCATTGCGAATTACTCATCTCGTTGACGGATTGATCGGCTCTGTCACCGCTAATCAATCCACCCTTTCCTTTGAATGATGGCAGCGGCATGGCACGAACGAATCATTGCAAACTGAAGCTTGCTAGGAAACTTATAGCTCCCTGTACGAGCTGAATAAAAGGTGGTAAAATAAAAATGTAAAAGAAATTCCATAATCTGTTGCTGAATGCCTCTTTCACAGTATTTGCTTGGTTGTATTTCGGTGACGCGTCAACACAGCCGCTCTTGTTCATTTGTTTGTTGTTTATATATGTGGGAGATACGTTATATCTCCCACACCCGTCGTTCGTCGTCGTGATTTTGCTCAACGAGTAACGCCTGCTTCTCTAGTTTAAAATACGATACTATTAATGACTATATTATTATTATGTTCAACATAAGGGAAACCTGCTGTAGTTACATGTAGCATTCCGTACAGTCTCCCGTAGCCTTTCCTCAGTCAAAGTCCAAGCTGGATATAACTCTTCTTCTTACGGTGTAGAGTAAACAATTTCGTTTTAGAAATGGTACTTACGCGAGAAAAATGTGTGTTGCTATAGGATATAATATATCGTCCCGTCGATGCCTCGCGCACGCTGCGTCGTGCGCTGCTGTTCGTTTTTGTCAGCTTCAAGGCACACCGGTTGGCCCACTGCTACGATAACACCAGTCGGTCTCCGTTCCGATATTAAACACACTTGGCAAATCGCTGTTTCGGCCAGGCCGTTTGACCGTCCAATTGCCTGCTGCTGTAACTGTGAAGTTAGATTTGATAAAAATAACTCCAAGGCCTCCATAAGACGATGCTGAATGTCATTTGAAAGCATGCCAAGAAGTCTATTTGCAGCTGGGGTGTAGTCGTATCTCGTGTCGTTCGAGCGTGAATTATGCGCTTTGGGCGGTCTTCGGGGCCTTGCGGTGCTTACGGCAGATTCGATAGATCCTATGAGATCAAGTACAACAAAATGAAACATGAAAAAATGATTGGGCGGACAATAGCAGTCAGAGAATGTTGAGATTGCAAAAGTAATACCCAGCTGTAGTATACAGTGCAATCAGATTTTTTTCCCTTATTATAGTACGCTTTATGTTGTTATTACATTAAGTCATATTTCAAATCTCGTGAACATGACGGCGAAGCTGCCTTTTAAAATGTAGTGTATCCTCTGACGCCAGACCCCCACAGCAGTGACGTAAGGGAAGTTACCGTCTAAACTGCAGGATAATAGTACTGCATACTTCGATCGAAGTTTGTGAAAAGAATCGAAAAGACCTAGTACTTGTTAGCGACGCATAACGGTGTCGGCAGTTATTCGTTGTGTTTACTATGTGCTGATCCAGAAGATGCGAGTTTATGCCTAAGTATTAATTAACAAACTATAAACTCGTGTTATTATGATTGTTCGAAATTGTAGCAATCATCAGAGTAAACCTGCCCGACGGGCGATCGTTTTGCCTGATTATGATCTTATCATCGTACCCACAATGCCGACGTTGTTGCATTCGTTGACGATAATTATATATGGTGTTACGGTTATTATACTTGATTCAGCAATGGGTTGATTGTGGCTTCAGCTGAGATCTGTCGAAATATGAAAAAGCATATTATTATTTTGTTATTGTTTCTGTCCTTTGCGGCTGGCCGAGCGTGCAGGGCTGTGCAGTCGCCCGTCAAGTTGCTTCTTAGTTGACCGTCCTTCGTCGTCGCCGTCGTTGTTCTACGTTAAATAGCCTGCCAAGCCACACTACAACAACCGTACCCTTGCTTTTACTGTTACTATATTATGTCCACAATTAACGTTGCTGCTATCATTATTAATTAATAACGCCTGTGTTTTATTGGCGGGCCCGCTGCTGGTTGACTGTGCGATGCTGTGCACAGCACCGTATAGTAGCGGTCGTAGTAGAGGCCACGTCTGGTACAGTCATGTATTGTTGTAGGACTTTTTGTGTCTGTGAGTGCGGGCCTACACTGAATAGCGGTCTGTTTGGCCATCTATGCACACACGTGCGT